GGGGGGGGGGGGGGAAGGCCCTTCCCTTGATTGAGTCTGCAGAGGAGAGCAGTACGAATACTATTATTGTGAGCTAATGGGCTAAAGTAACAGATGTAAGGGTTGAGAGCTGGAGGGAGCCCACCCTCCCGAATCAGTGACACACTGAAGTCTCCTAGCTTCAGTTTGCTCACCTGTAAAATGGAACTCATGATATCGCAGAGGAATATTGCGATATCATGTGTTTCTGCTGATGTCACCCAATGGCAATTGAGAAGCAGAAAGAGAAGCTGTGTACTTCTTCTTCTGGGTCGGAGTACCGGAACTAGTGTCTGTCAGGGGCTGCAGGCTCAGGGACATTCGTGTGCAAAACACCAGAAGCTGTCTCTGAGAGTCTGTGAGGGGTTTCAACTGGCTCCTCATTGGCTTGGGGATCCTTGAGTCCTGCTAGGAGTAAGGAGGTAGGGGGGAGACAGCACCACAGAACAAAGAAGGGGCCAGGAGAAACAAAGAAATGGGCTGGGACACTGGGACCTTTTTTGCTTTATTTACTTGGTAACTCCAGCGCCCAGAACAGTGACTAGCTCGTTGTAGATTCTCAATATACAGGAGGGGGCAAAAGTAGGTTTACAGTTGTGAGTACTCGAAACACAGTTTATTCTTGTATTATTATTTATTAATTGTTGTATTATTTTCCATACGAATGACTGTAAACCTGCTTTTGCCCCACCTTGTACATTCCTCAAATAAATGAATGAAAAAAGGAAGGTAGGATTGATAAGAAGGGGGAACAAGGTGAGTGATCCAGTGATTGCTTGCTGAGGCTCCTCAACCGACTTTGCCCCAGAGCTGCCACTCACGGTCCTGTTGCCCTGGCAACTCTGTCTCCTGGTAACTTCAAAGTAGTGCTGTTGCCAGGAGACCCAGGGACAGGGCGGAACTGAGATTTCCTGGGCTTCCTTTCTCCCTCTGGGACCATAACACAGCTCCACAACCTCCCCCAATACACCCACTCATACAGCCAGGTACCCCTACACCCCTACACACACACACACACACACCATGGCATCTCTGAATATATTCCACTTCAAGAATCCCCATCACCCACATGTTCACAGCCCTATCCTATCTTGACACAAAGCATCCCATACACACTCTTTCCTACCTTCACACCCCCACACCATTCCCTCGCACACACACCAGAACACACTGATTCAACTATACCATTGCCACCACAGAGACACATTTCCTTTCAGCTGATATTTGGGCAGCTCTTTCTACACACACACACACACACACACACAGATGAGGTACACTGTTACACTGCCTTGTCAAAAGCACCACCTCAGCCTCCCAAGAGATACACAAACCATGATTCACCTTACTTTGCAACACTCCAAATGCACAAGCACCCAGTAGTGACACCTGTATCACACAGTTGCATACATGGAAGCATGCTGAACAGAGCCCCACCTCAGGTCTTTTGCATTTGCTGTTCCCCTGCCTAGAGCACTCAGCTCCCAGATAGTCCTGTGGCTCATTTTTCCACTCCATTCAAGTCTCTGCTCAAATATCAACCAGGGAGGCTTTCCCTGACCACCTGTGTAACATTGCAC